ATCACTTTCAGAGAGTTCCAATGGTCTTCCACGGATGATTCCTCAGTGGTGCCACGTAGTGTTTCCTGCTTTGCTCTGACAGTTGCAGTGAAAATGTCCTGTGTGATTGTGTCCTTCAGTTTGTGAGTGTTGAACTTGCATTGTGGCCTATCCCCAGGTATCCTCGAGGCTTTCAGCTTCACCTTGAAAGTCCCTTGTACTAGATAGTGGTCTGCACCCACATCTGCTCCTCTCCTCGATTTTGTGTCCAGTAGGCTCCGTCTTCACTTCCTTGAGATTGAAATGAAGTCTATCTGGTTTTTGGTGTGTCCATCTGGTGAAATCCAGGTCGCCTTGTGTATATCCCTGCGTTTGAACACACTGCCACCAATCACCAAATCATTGAAGGCGCAGAAGTCTGAGAAGAGTTCACCATTTTCGTTCATTTCACCGAGGGCCTCACGACCCATGGTGAGTTCTCTTCCTGTATTGTCTCCTCCCAGCTTCGCATTCATGTCACCCATCAGGATTTTGATATCGCTCTTTGGGACGTTGTCCATTACTGTTTGTAGTTGACTGTAGAAATCCTCCTTCTTCTCATGTTCTGAGGCGTTTGTAGGCGCGTAGCACTGAATGATTGTAACCTTCTTTCCTTTTGAGTTGAACCTGGCTGTCATTATCCTGGAGGAGATTGGTTCCCAATGCATGAGAGCCTTAGCCGCTGTTGGTGACATCATGATGGCTACTCCCTCGGTGTGCTCGTGATCGTCCTCTGGGTGACCGGAGTAGATTATTGTCTCTCCAGTTGATAGTTGGCTCCTTCCACATCCGTTCCATCTGCTCTCGCAGATTCCCAACACTTCTATTTTATATCTCCTCATTTCTGCGGCTACCTGAGCAGCCTTCCCAGCTTCGTACATTGTACGAACATTCCACGTCCCCATCCTTATTTTCGCTTTCATCGAAAGAAGGCACATCGGCTGACTGGCTTCCCGAAGGCTTTCACCAGCCCGCGTCATTTCACTTCCCCGATTCCAGCGAAAAATAAGGTCACTATTTGTAATTTTAGAATTTTGAATATATTTGTGCGTTGAAGTTTTTGTAGCAATTTGGTTACGTTTTGGGGTTGGAGTTGCTAGCACCACGCCCCAACCCTCCCTCTTTATCCGGGCTTGGGACCGGCTAGAATACTGGTGACCTAGTAATCTAGGCGAGGTTTTGCTGTTCATTAAAGATGCTTAAATTATAATAATAATAATAAAGATATAGTAGCAAATAGAGTATCAACTAAAATTAGGAAAATTTCACAAAAATTCTGGATTATTCAAACCTGGATGGCCAAGGTAATGATAATGACTGAACTAACTTCTTTTGGACGCACAAATTAAACTTCATAATATGGATCCCCACAGCCTCAGCAATATTTAGTAGTTGAACTGTTAAGGCGAAATTGAAATTTGTTGGTATGCGGTAAATGACCCTGAAAGCATGGTTAACATCAATCTTGTGTTCTGTATCCACAAGATGAGATAGAATAGCGCTGCGAATAGATTTCATTGGCCTTTACTTAACCACACAGGGTGATGTTCGGAAATTCGTCGAGAAACACGCCTAATTGTACGGCCTATGTAACTGGCTCCACAGGAGCAGTTAAATTGGTATATACACATGGAAGAGGCGAAATTAGGTAGTTTGTCTTTTATTCCCGAACGCAGAAGAGGAGTGGTTGTGAAGATACAGCGTAATTGAGCAGCAGGGAATGCTCTTTTCACCGCATTTCTGAGGCGATGTGTTAGTATCTCACTTGTGTTGTCTCCCAGGAACTGCATCTGTAAGAACGAGGCTTTCTTTGGAACTGTTGGTAACTTGGACTGTTTTGGCTTTAGATTCATATTCTTATCAATAAACTTTTCGGGATAACCATTCTCACTTAGCAACCGTTTAATATTGCTAAGCTCCTCGTCAAGACATTCATCCGAGCAAATCTCTCTTACTCTGTTGACCAAGCACTTTATTAGATTGCGTTTGTATTTCAAGGGCACAAAGCTGAGAAAATGTGTGTACTGGCCCGTTGATGTAGGTTTTCTATAAACACTTCTTCTTCTTATTGTGCTATCCTCTTTTCTGGTCATAAGGACGTCTAAAAATGAAATACTAGATTCCTTTTCTTTCTCAATAGTAAAATTTATTGCAGGATGTACCTCATTAAATTTATCCAGGATGTCCTTTGCCTCCTTTTCGTTCTTCATAATCAAAAAATTATCACCCATCTATCGACAATAAAATTCGAGTTCATTAATAACATCCTTCAAAGGCCCATTTTCTAGTTTCACAAGGAAAATTTCGGTTAGAATGTGTCCCAGCGGTCACCCCATTGCCACACCGTCGATTTGTCTATATAGTTCCTCATTAAATAAAAAGTGGACATTCAATGCAAATACCAGAGATATTGAAGATATTGTGGTGAGAGCTGGATGCTAGCCAAAGTCGGTAGACAGTAATTGACGTCAGTGTTTATGTCCCCGATATTGGTGGTGAGAAAATGAGAACAAAGGCTTCACGTAGGCAGATACAATTAGCATATAGATGATCTGACACAGCCACAAAGAGATGCGAGGTTAACTTTCTGTGAGAAACAACCAATCAAAAGACTGTATTTTGTATTGACAATAATCTACAATAATGTACATTATATTCTATAAATATGTGTTGATTTTCCTTAATAAACGATCTGTTGCCTGGCCCTTGTCTTCTGTTGTTACAATATTATTACCATCAGTTAAATCAGAGGAGGATAATAAATAATGTTAAAATGTATTCAATTCACATCATAACATTCTAACAAGTTACTTATTTTTTACTATAAAAACATCTGATTTCCCATCTGATTGTATTTTATTGATAGCGCTAATATTATTTCTAAATGTACTTTATCTTATTTTGATATATTCAAATGTCTAATCAATTTTAATCATATATATAAAAATGAAGCGAAAAAGTTGTGTGAGTGACTTGATATGATTATGAGCAGTGGTTTGTGCTCGGAACTTCATCAGTAAATATTACTGTATAACAACACTGTGTGATTTATCAAAATAAAATTTTATCTATAATTTAAGTTCGGCCGTGAAGACTTTCTTTCATGAATGGGCCAGGCGGTTTCTTAGTATTTCTGCCGATGAGCCGCCAGTTAATTGTAGATTCAAGTAGAGAAGATTTTGGGGAGCACAAACTGTGTGCAGTTTTAGAGGTTTAGTCTTCACAGATTTTGTGATGAAATTTTCAGTGTGGTCATTTTCAAGAGGGATTCTTCTGAGAGTTTTCAGCTCTTCTTCCATAGTGTAAGGTCTTCGAATGTTGCTGATTTGGTGACTCATTGAATGGATCAAGCTTCGTTTTGCATATAGAGGCATCCAACCAGGAAATTTAGTGAGTTTTACTTATTATAGCTTGATTCCACACAGTATTTTGGTACAACTATGGAATTTTCAGCATGTGATATCGGTAGCCCAAATTTAGCAGGCCGACCATTGATATCGAGTGTGCGCCGACCTGGATTTAAACCCTGGACCATGTGCACGGTCGGCAAACTTCCTAACAGCTGTGCCAGCGTTGCACATGTCGGCTTTCTGTAGATGGATCTTGTTAATGCCCCATACTGTTCACGTCCTGTTGTTTGTGTCAGACTCCTTCTCCAGTTTGAACTTGATTGCAGGGTGGTAGCTGTTTAGAAGTCCAGAATATCCTTCAAATTCCCCTCATTTCTGAAGATGGTAAAAGTATCGTCTACGTATCTTTTGTAAAACCCAAAGCTGTAAGTCATTTTCTTTAGGTGTTTTTTCAGTTTTAAAATGAATGAATCTGCAAGCAACGGGCGCAGTGGTTAGCCCATGGCTATACCATCTTTTTCGGTATATTTCATTACTAAAAGAGAATTGGACATTGAGAGTGCAAATTACTAGGAGTTCCCTCAAATAATCAGTGGGTATGTTAATGTTTACCTCGTTTGAATCGATACGTTCACATATATGGCATATTGTTCCAGTTAGTAGAACGTTCATTAACTGGGATACAACATCTAGTGAGAACATGGTTTGATAAGAAACGCTGACTTTTTCAATGGAGCTGATTAAGTTGAAGGAATCGCTGGGTGAGTGGCAGGAAACTTACCCTCTGATTAGTTTTAGTAGGTCTGCTAACCATTGGGTGGTGCGGTTCTCAGGTGAATTTGTCATGTCGAGAATAGGTCGAAGAGATGTGTCTTTCTTGTTTATTGATCAAAGTGAAGTGCCTTTCAAATGGTACTCACTAGTCAAATGTCACTGCATGTTATCTATGTCATATTTGTAAATAAAAAATTAGTTTATCACTTGCTTGTTCGATTGGTAACAGGTTTGATCACGAGCTGATATCAGTTAAAGGACCATTGGAAAGCCAGTGAGTACTAGTGAGCCAGTTCTCCTACTTCAGTGGTAGGAACGCACCTGAGTTCGAATCCAGGACCTTCGTGTTACAAGGCGACCTCCTACACCATTGATCCACTAGGATCGGTCCAGAGGCCTACGAATTCCAGCTGGTGCCAGTCCAGTATATATATATATATATATATATATAGCGCAACTACCAATGGGTTGCTAAATGATGTAAGCACATGATCTAACCTGTAGATGTTGACAGTTCTTCTAAACCCGTAAACAAATCTCTTTCGAAATTAAATTCTTCATTATTACCCGTTATCTTAATTCAATAGCCTGTACTGGTCATAATAAACCTTCCTCCCCTCTCTTTTGATTGAATTAATTTATTTTGATCATGAATTTTTCGCTGTTTCGTTTAGCAAGTTCATGTCTCCAGGTGGCAACCTGACTGCTAATCATCAATTGGTATTGATAAGCTACTAATTTTCTAATAAAGTTAAAACTATCAATTTAATTGGTTAGTTTTTTCAAGTCTAGTGTATACAATCTACAATAAAATACGATAATCCTATAGGTGAGTTAAATAACCTTAATTACAATTTATAAACCAATCAGAGATTAGTTACAACAAATTTTAACTTACCTTTGCATTTTATAATGTAACTGAGGTTTTTTATGGGCTGAATTGATGCAAAATTTAAATATAAAATAAGCACGGATTTTGTGTTTTACAAACAAAATGAAGTGAATACTTCTATCACATGTAACTTAATTCAGTCAATTAACAATTCCAAAAATTATCTATATACACTTAAAGAAGAGAAAACAAAACTTATCTGTGTCATGTCAAATGATTTTACACTTGATGACCAACAAAATGAATTATCCGATAAATCAGTAACTTTACAAAATGATTTAGAAGTAAAATGGTATTACTTATCATCTGCTGAAATTTGTGCACTTGTACTAACTTTCTTATATTATATACTCATGATATGCTTGGGTATATTATGTTGGTTAAATGCAAAACGTCGATATAAAAATCGTCAAAGAAATTCAAATACATGGTCAAGATTTCAAATTAGTCCAAATCAGTTGCACATTAAATATACAGATGATGACGGTGATTCTATGGCAAGTTAATTTATATTATATTATGAGCTAAAAAGGTGTCTAATACTCAAGAAAATAAAGTCAAAAAGAATTCAGTATAACTCATGATTGAATCCATCAACTTGAAATTTAATATTTGCCGAAAAGAAATGTGCAGATTCCTGAGTATGCTCATGTTGTTTATCTATAATTTAAAAAAATTTGACTTCAAATATTCAGGGTGAATTCGTAAATATGAGACTTTTAGAGATGCTCATCTTTTTCAGTGCATATATACATAGATAAGTTTTGTACATTCTGTAAATTATAATTGACAATGTTATATATACATACATTATTAATAATTGTTATTAATAATTAATAAGATTGAGTACATTTTGTTTTAAATTATTATTATTATTTCCTTTAGTTCCTAGAGGAACATAGGGCTTCAGCCATGCGTCTCCATTGCGTTCGGCTCTCTGCTAGAGTTTTCACCTGGCTCCAAGTTTTAAATTACTGCCTCTAAATGAACATTGACAGTGATCTTGAGAGAAGCGAATCAAACTACTTCATTCGGTTAACCGTAAACATTCCTTAAAAGTCCTTTATGAAATCAACCAGATAATGTTTAGAAATAGATTAATTATGTTAAGTTAATTAACTGAGTCGAAGTAATTACTTAATCTTATCATCCTGCTGTTGATGTAGATTGCAGCATTGTCATGCGGATTCCTAAATATTTGTATCCTCAAGAATGTTGTAAATGTGAAGCTTCAAATGTGAATCCATATGTGCAAAACACACACACATGAATGCGATAATGGCTTCATATTCATTCAGTTTTATGTGATCCGATAGAAATTTAAACGCTGATCTGTGTCTGTCTAGATTTATAGATGGGTGACATCAAAAGCTTGTTAATTCTTTGTTGTCAAATCACAGTGTATTCTGAAGTAGTAGTTTCATCCCAATAGAGGCCCGTCATCTGAATATGCTCAGACTGTAATAATCACTCATTGGAGTCATAGATTATGTAACAATGACTGGCGGCCTTGAATGGTAGTCAGATTCAGGTAAATATGACCTATGAGGCTGCAATAGGATATCGATCCCACTGCTAGCTATCACCACCGTATCATAACTACAATAAACGAAGTTGGCACACTTGTTCTACAATGTTATTTAATATAAAGAAGTTGATCAGTAACTGAGAAACTTTTATAAATGAAGAAAATCCTCCAAGTAAATACAATGTTGAGTAGGATAGTTATTTATTTGGAAAAAGCTTGTTTTCATTCTTGTAAATCTTTAGTGATGTAAACACCAATTATTTGCTTTGCTTGTGTTTAGGCTTAGACTACCAAAGATCTATGATTAGTCTGTTATTACGGACAATATATACATGACTGTCTGGCCAATATTTGAATCAATCTAAAGTATCACACTAAATTGCACAATTACATCTTTCATGGAGAATTCAAATAAGTTCATTTCATACTAAAGCCTGCACCTTGTACCCATGTGATTGATTGTGAATCTCAAGACCTACAGTCTGCAAGTACGGGTTACTGCTATCAAATGAGGTGGAACTTAATGGTCTGAACTCCCAGACACATGAGGTCAGCAGCTACTAGCGTCATAGACTTCTCTATCTTCGTCTTCCAGCATTTCTTTTGTTCCTATCCCAATTATACTTCCACTAAGACAGTTTGTCAGATTAGCTAGTGTTTAGGCAGACGAAACACTTTTCGAAGTTGCTCCCGTCTGTAAACGCTAAGAATTTTGTCAGCTGATCCATTTATCCCATATTAGGTTCTAATATTGACTTCTGTTCCAACAACATGATGACTTTTCCAAACGATCGGAACATTGTACGAGTGACGGTGTTCAATTATCTCAGGGCATTTAGTTTTTGTGACAATATCAGTTATGTCTTACAAGCATTCAGATGATTTCATCAGCCGCCAGTTCTTGTGTGAACATGGTATGATTAGTCATATAAGGGTAGTGGTTGACGCACTCATTTCCTCTTATCGTATGGGACATATATGCGCATCTTTTCTAGTTACCGAGAGAAGATGAAAAATTGGGAGCGGAATAAACTAACGAACAATCAGCTAAGACCTAATCTAGTCTAGAACTAGCAAGGCTGAAGCTGAGAATCCGATACTATATCAATAGTATTATCTGGAATGTAGCTGTTATTGTTATAACTATTGGTAAATCCCCTAAAAGAGGTGGAATGAATCCCTTACAAACTCTTTTCAAAAGGGTTCAAGCTACAAAATTCAAACTTTCTTAGCATGTTTATGTGTTAAATTAAAGAAGAACCTGAATTAACCATTTAGGATGAAACTTAATGAAAATATGAATTTGATATATCATTACAGTGCAGATTATTCAGCCTAATGGCTATAAATACGAAGATCTATGCCTAGATTAACACGAAAGTGCATACACTCTTTTGTAACAAATTAGTTAGAGCTTAAGAAAAGAAAGACTTATCCATCAAAGTAGTAAAACATTTGTTATATAACTGAGTTATGCTTATATCCAAGTCACTCTGGTTTGTGTTTACAGACACTTATAGATTAAATCTGTCTGTACGCAATGCGAACGTCTAAGCTGTCTTTAAATAATCCATTCAACTCATATGCATACTTGATTATTTGATTAGTAGTGACCAATAGTGAGATTAAGAATGCAAATTTTAAGCCTGTTTGGAAGACTTAACATAAATATGTCTGTTTTGTAATCAGTATTGTCATTTCTTTTATGAACATTCATTTCGAAATCTAGTATTGCTTTTTATACCACTTAGTTAGGACTGTCGCTACTTTCTCACTGAATATTGGTTTACTGTTGAGGTTTTACCTGTTTCATGTAAAAGATTTAGAAGACTGAATCAAGAAGCTGTTGTTGACATGGAAATTATCTCTACTGACGCATACTGATTAGATAGTTCTTCATAACTTTGCCCTTAATACACTAGATGCTTGCCATATTGATTTCAGAGAGTTTTATGACCTTTTTTAGACTCAGAAGGATTTCATAGTTATATTTCGTCTAACTATCAAGCTCATGACCCGATATTCATGGTAGTGCTTTATGAAGAAGTATCCTTTGTGAATCATGGATCAGTGGACTCCATTTCGGCAGCAGAATCGTGAGATCTTCCTCTAAAAACTTGGTGATAGTAGATTAGAATCTTTTTGTGAAATCATAAATATCTACTGTTGGAGATTTTAAATTTAGAACAAATCGTATCTTGGACTTCAGTGATTCTTTCAGCTGTCAAGAGATACTTTAATAGCTGTACAGAAATAATCACTCAATATAAAGCAAGCGTCATACCTTCAATCTCATCGAAAATATTGTTAGTTTTTAAGTAATTCGCCACCGATTATCTATATATGTATATATTTACATATATATTCATTTTAGGAACAAAACTGACTTAAATACTTTTTATGACCCTTTTTTAATCTTTCAGTAGCTTCTTCATTCTCCTCTATCCTAGCTAATATCAATGGTTTGGATGAGTGGACATTTAATGTTCAAATAAAAAATATAGAAAATAAAATAAACAAACAGCAAAAATGCAAACAGTTGAAGAATCGGAAACGCCTATTTTTTTTCCAAAAAAATGTTTAACTTATTTCTGTACATACTTGGATATGAGTATTTAAGTGTAGGTGTATGTGTATGTGTTTAGGCATGTACGTGCACATGTAAGTGAGTTTGTATTTATGTGCATTCATTTGGCGGGGAACCTGATTTGACCTGATTTTTTTAGAGGAGAAACAAAGACAAAAAAGAAAGCGAAATAAATACACAGTTGAGTATTTTGTTTTCTTCTTATTTATTTTTCGACAGTAATACATTTACATTAGCCCACACATGCAAACACACACAAACAACCTGGTAACCAAATATTGTTTATATGCATTGACTCATTTAACTTAACAATCGAAATGAGGTCATTACTAAGGCAATGAAATCGTTTCATAGCTTCGATTCGTTGCGTGAACTTGGAAATAGCACAAAAACGAATTAAGATTATGGATTCTAATTAAATTTTTATTGAGAAGACAAAAAGGGATTGAACAAAGAATGTTCTTTTCGATAACTCCCTCATCTGGTTCAACATCAATGAAGTTATTATTATTATTGTTATTTGAAGTTTACCAGCGGACTGCAATCAGTTGGAGAACCATTGAAAACCAGCACTGGAGTACTAGATAGTTGTTTCGTCAGCAATGCTCATCCACCGGCAGAATTAGAACCCAGGGCCTTCCGGTTACAAAGCAAGCTTGTAGACCATTTGCCACTTGGATCCGACTTAATGGCCCATGAATTCTAACTTCTACCAGTGCGTGATTTTAGCGCGACCACCAGCCAATGTCATAAGCGAGTATTTGTCCTCACTGTCGACCGAATGGACTCCACTGGACACGGCTTTTCACTTGAACTCTAGGAAACTTCGTCCCATAGCTTGTGGTCAAACTTGGAAACAAATGAAATCTTTACTAACCAACTCTTAAAAAATATTGTTCCCTTGGGTTCCGAGTAGAACGTAGGTCTTCAGCATCACATCTCCACTTCATTCTCTGCACTGAGGTCTTTAATTAGGTGACTTTACGACTGTCCAGTAGCTTCGTTTCCCCCTCACATGATTTCCTTCGTGTCAACCTTGGACGCCTAAGTCGTTGTTTCCCAATCGAGTTCCACTCGATGGCCTGGTACATGATGTCATGATCTCCACTGAGTGTGTCCAATCCATCTTCATTTCCTTCTGCATATTTGTTGGGTGGTTCGTTGGCTAACAGAGTTCCTTCTTACTTATCCTTTCTAACCATCTAATCTCATTTTCTTAGAATAAACTAGATGAGTATCTATCACGCATCATTTTCAAACGTGGTTGTCAAATTTTATGTCCTTGGGAAAACATGTTCTATAGAGGAACAAAATTATAAATGTTTACATGGTTCACTGTACACACGGTGACTACTTTAAGACAACGAGGATTAAAGGATATCAATAGCTATATTCTACTGCATCAATAAATCTATTCAAAATAAATAATAAATTGTAGAAAATAAATATGGTACGGGGTGTTTTTGTAATTACAAGTTTAAGTTATAATCTTTTTTTGCATGCAAAACTAATCAATCATAAAATTCAACAACAAAAATATCAATAAGATTATTTGAAGACTAAGTAGCTTAAATATTTATCAGTAGATCAATGAATAATGATT